AAGTGCTGGCTGCTTCAGGATGAGCTTGCCAGCCTTAATTAAGCACAGCTCAGCTAATATGGACTCTGGACCTAGACCACCTGCATTCAAATCCTCACCTGGTCACCTGCTAGCTGTGTGTGATCACAGTCAGGTTTCACAACCTCACAGACGTCCCATATATAAACTGGGAATGACAACAGTGTCCACCTTACCACTGTAGGGAGTAGTAACAGAAATAGGAAAGAAGCATATGCAATCAGATCAATTACAGAAGGTAAATTTTTCATCCCATCTCTATTGTTCTGCCCACCTCCTGACATTTCTCCATAAGGACACATAATATCTGTGATGATCATCAACACAAGACACTCTCATGAGTGGACTGAGACACAAAAGAGATCCAACACTATTACAGTGGAAGACTGTTCCATGGATGATACTTACGAAAAGCATCTTACCAGCGTGACGGGACTTAGAAGCCGTCTGTGCTCAGAGCTACAACACTAAGGAGTACAGCTGAGACAGGAGTGGGTGGGCGGCACACATTCCCTCCAGGGCCAGCTGCAAAAATCTGGGTGGGATGCAGAAGTGAGGCTGATGGAGAGAAGTGAGTTGGGGTAAATGGGAAGGGGACACAAACCGTGAGAGACTGTGGACTCTGAGAAACAAACTGAGAGTTTTGGAGGGGAGCGGGGTGGAGGGATGGGTGAGCCTGGTGGTGGGTATTAAGGAGGGCTCCTATTGTATGGAGCACTGGGTGTGGTTCATGAACAATGAATGTTGGAACACTGACAAAAAATTAAATTAAATTAAATTTAAAAAAAAGAAAAAAAAGCGAGGCTGTTAATCTATTCTAGGGGTAACCTTGAAGGGCCAACTTTTTTTTTTTTTTTAGTAAATCAAATGCAAACATCAGTATTTAACTCTTACAAGTAATAAAGTACTTGGATACACCTTACTCCTAAGGGCATGGGCAACAGAGTGGTGAAATACTCCTTAGCCATCTTTGATAACCATCCTGGTGGGGCCTACGTCCAGCAGCCCTCAACACAAGCACTGCAGGAGTGGGGGGTGGCAGGGACAGTTTACAGGGAGAACTCCACCAAACCCAGCCATGGCAGCTTATCCCCCCTTGCCTGTCCAGATTCTTCAGGCTGGACAAAGGGCCTTGATGGAAAGGCTCCTGTTCGCTTTCCAGAAGGTTATGCATTTGGATAAGAGAGCTCTAGGATTTTGAAAAAATAAAGTGATCCTTCCAACCCCTCTCACGAACACATACAGCTTTCCAGATGTGACAACGTTGGGAAAACATGAATTTAATTGTAGCAGTGAAAAAACAAATAAATAAAACAGCCCAAGGAAGCAAACAGAGCACAAGTCCCCATGCTTCCAGCTGAGAGAACATAGTTAAAGTACTAAGGCTCCTGGGACCCACCTTGGCGACCTTCCAAGAACTGATAGTTTGCATTAACACACAGAAAGAGAAGGTCAGATAAATTAAAAGTTCAAAAGGTAATTTTGAAGAAGGACATCTTTATCCTCAGCCCTAGCACAGGGCATGGCTCATGGCAGCTGTGGGACAAACTTACTCCATGAACCCACCTGTGGCTGGCAGAGGTGTCACACGGGGCTCCGATTTGTGATGTTGAAAGCAGATGCCATATAGGATAGGGGCCGAGGCCAAGACTAGAAACGTCAAGAAGGGCTGGGGGGATCTCTACTCAATTTCCAACACATTAAAAATTACAACCATCTTCTGGTTAAGAGTGACTCTACACTTCAAAGTACTTATGAACTTTAAAGGCAGCCTAGTAAAACTTGCACTGACAAGCACAACACTTATTTGTGACCCAAACCTCTCAACTGTCACCCACACAACTTCCACCCCAAATATAAAATTATTTTCTCTCTCTCTCTGTCTTTTTTTAAGTACCTGGATTCTGGAACACATACACCTTCTGTCAGCCAAAATTCTGTTAACTCTTCACCCGACACAAGGACCCTTTCTCAGATTTTGCCATACACAACAACAAACCCCCAGAGACAAAGCTCCTAACAGTGTATGCTTTCCTGAGATTTCCTACAATAAGATCAACACAGGAAGCCCTTCACCCCACCAGCAGCCCACCCTTCTAAAGCCAGGAGGCCAAGACATGCAAAGAGCTCCCTTGGGAAGGAGCAGGGCAACCACCTGCCTGAATGAGCATGGAGTGAGAAAGGACATGAACCTCCCAACACAAGTCTTATGATGACTGCTCTGTGCAGTTTTCTGGACTTCTCTGCAGGGCACCCTGGCTACTGTCTGTCCCCTGCCAAATCAGTCTGAGGGTGACACTGCAGTGACTTGATCTGGAAAGGTGGTGTTAAATGACTGACATCTACAAGGGATCCTGAGGAGTCACACTTCTCATGGGAGGAGCCAAAGCCCCCCCCTCACCCCACTAGAATCACAGGGGGACTCTGGCATTTCAATGCATTTGAAGGCCAGCTGGGCAGAAGGCTGCTTTAGTTATTTTTAAACTGAGAAAACTGAATGGGAAGGGAGAAAATCTGAATTCCTATGATCTCCTGAGAGGTCCCTTCCAGCTCCAAGATGCTACTAAAGAACACTGCATATGCACATACTTCTTTATAAAAACGTATATATACATACATATGTGTGAATATATATATGTACTGTATTCACACTTCAAACACAAAGCACTTGAAATGTGCGCTGCTGAGATCAAAAAGCCCATGCGCTGCTTGGCAGAGGGGCTGGGGTGCACAGATGCCATTAGCAGATTTGGGCAGGGCCCCCAGCCCTCTTGCCATCCCCCTCCGCCTAAATACCAACCCAACCAGCAGCTGCCTGTGTGGAGGCAAGCCCCACAAGGCTCTAAACCAGTACAGCAGACTCCTTTCTCCTAGAAACTCCAGGCCTAGGTATCCCAAACCCAGGCAGGTTGGAACAAAGGTGGAGACCAAAGGAAAAGTCCAACCCTTAAGTCCTGGCACCCAGCTCTGCCAGAGTCAGGTGTCAGGCACAGGAGGTCCTTTCTCCTTTTGTCCCAGCTCCTAAAGGGGGCAAAACGGTCACCTTCTCCCTCCTCCCCTATCACTCTGTTTTTCAGGGCCTCTCCACTTCCCTCTGACTACCCAGATGGCAAGTTGGTAACTGGAGAAAACTAAACAGCCTTCAGAAAATGGAGCTGGGCTCCAATCCTAGCAGTGCCAAACTTAAGGGTGCTTATCTCAGCCTTGAACAATAACAACAAAAAGAATCTGTAGGAAAGAAGGAAGTGGGTGGTGGTGGTGAAAATCCATTTATCGAGACAGATCTGTGATGGGTTTGGCTATCATGAAAAACTGTTTTTTGATTTCTTGAATCAGAAACAAGGCAGTTCTGACCCTTCATCAAGTCTCAAGATACCCGTGATAGAGTTGATAGCATGGTGGTGGTTGGGGGCGGAGCGGGGGTGCTCTCCGAGTAAAATCCAACCAAGTCCCTCGGGTCCTGACAATGAACACAGACTGGGACACCAGCTTCCCACTTGTGTGTCTTTACAATGAGATCCCGCCGCTAATAATCAAATCTGAGTGTTTCCAGGTACCCTGTGGCCATCCCACCCGAACCCCATACACACCGCGGCTTTCCCCTCCCCAACTTCACAGCTCTGTAAGTGCCCAACCTTCTCTAACTGGGCCGCCAGAGCCGGGAGCGAACAACAGTGTCTGCCCCGCGCCGGGCTTGGCAATCGGAACCGGGAGCACTGGGCCCTAGACCTCGAGCCCGGCATCTCCGAAAACCTTAAGCATCGCCTACTTCCAGCAGAGCACCCGCTGGCGCTCCGAACGAGGCTGGACAATGCAAGCGCCACCTCTTCCCTCTTCCGCGCGGTAGCTACGAAACCACGGCTTTGTGTGTGACAGCAAGTGTGCGCGAACGTCCCCAGCTCACACACCCCCTTTCACCCAGTCTGCTCCCGGCGCGGGGTCTGTGCGCTCTGAGAGTGCATAGGGAGTGAGTCCACCACGCAAGCGGCCGCACCGCCAGGCCTCTGGCCTCTCGGCCTCGGACCTGGCCTCGGGGACCGGGGGATGACATCCACACCCCCGTTCCCAGCCGCGGGGGCGGTCGGCGCCAGCAGCGCTGGGATCTGAGCAAAAGCGAGGCAGGGGCCAGGGGCACGAAACGGCGACAGGCGGGCGCCGCGCCCCCTACCCGCGCGCTGGGTCGCCCCCAACTTAGCACACCGTGGACCGGGAGGGGGACCCAGAGGGGGCCGGGAGGGGGCCGGGCGGCTCGCGACTCGGCAGGAAGTTCCCAGGGCTGCACTGAGCATGCTCTCGGGGAGTGTGTGCGCGCGGGTGTGGGCTCTGCGCTCCCCGCAGCCTCTCCGGCCAGGCAGACTCGCGGAGCGCCCTGACGGGGTCGCGGGCCGGCGACCGGCCCCAAAGGGTGGGTGGGGGGGTTCCCCCGGGCTTCCCGGTTCCCCAGCCCGGAGCGTCGCTCCGCCGCATCCCTCCTCTTCTGGGCCCCGGGCCAGCCTCCCTTCTTCTTCCTCCCCACTGGCCGTTGGCTGAGCCCGCCCTGCGCGCCCCTGTTCCCGGGACCCCAGCCCGGCCCACACCCGCAGCGTGACCCCACCAGGCTCCTTCGCGGTCCGAGCGCCCATCTGCCATCCCCGGCAGCTCGCCTACAGTCCGCGCCACCAAAGCCTCCTCTGGACAGTCCTTTGAAAAGCCCACAAGCCTCTTCCTCAAGGGCGCTGGGGGCCTGCTGTCTCCCCTGGAGAGGGCTGCCCCAGGCAGGTGGGCGCCTCAAGGCGCGTCCCCCGCTGCACTCCCGGGTCCCGCAAGGCGGTCGCAGCCAGGGCACCCACGCAGGCGGCAGGCGAACCCCCGGCCGCGCCGCCCTCGGTGCAGGCTCTCCCCGCCCGCGCCCAGCTCCCCGCGCCCTCCGCTGTCCCCTCTGCGTGCATCTCCCCGCGGGGATGGCGAGCCCGACGCGATCGCCCCGACCCAGTGGCTCTCACCTCCGTGTTGAACAGCAGCAATAGCAGCAGGGAGCGCCCGCCAGCCACTGTCCCCGCGGGGCCCACGACGCGGCGGGGCACGGAGTCGCGGCGCCCCAAGCCTGTGGCGCGGCTACCTGGGCTGGATCGCGCCCGGGGCCGCCGCGGCTGCCGCGGGAGCCGCAGGGCCGCCGCCGAGCGGGCCGCGGCAGGGACGGTCTGCAAACTCCCAGCCCTGGCGGGGCCGCGCGCGGCGCGTCCACACACAGCCCGGACGCGGTAGCAACGCTCTTCGCGGGCTCAGGCTAGAGGTGCGGGGGTCTGTCCGTAATTTCCCCTAACACCCCCCAGCCCAGCGTCTCTTAACTTCTCACCGCTTCTGGGCTCTCGGCTCTTGAAGGCAGGGATTCTGGCCAGAGACGTTCGGCAAACTCCCCGCCCTCCCAGGCCGAGCGCTCAGCCAATTCGAAACGCCCCAGCTTCTCAGGGGCTGTCTGCAAACTCTCAACTCTGTCGGAGAGGACTTCAAGCAACCTTTCAATTCTGCAGCCCAAAGGGAGAAAGGAGCAAGGGAGACAGGTTAATCACAGCCATAAATAATATTCCAGCAAGGTCGGGGATAGTGTGCCAATGCTCATATGACAAAGCATCCTCCAGAGTGGTGCACTCCAAGGGCCTCGAAGCACCAGGGGACTTCTAGCAGCGAAGCCCAGTCAGGGAAGACTGGGGGCTCACCGATTTACAGGAGCATACAACTTTAATAAGTGCCCCGAGTTTCAGTTTCCTTCTTCATGGAATGTGTTCTAGGTAGCCAAGTCTACTACTTGGTTTTTGTGACCTTGGACAAGTCACTTAACCATTTGAATTCAACCTCTTTATCTGTGAGCTTCAGGAGCCTATTTTGAAGATGAAAGAAAGCATATGTAAAGTACTTAGTTATACTTGGCATATGCTAGGCGCTCAATAAATAAATTCCATTTCTCTTTCTTTTTCTTCCTCCCGCCCTTGGATTCTATGCACACGCTGGATGAGCTAGCTGAACACTGTACTATTGTAAATTCACAACGAAATAAATCATATCTCATGCCCTGAGGGTACCACAAACGTTGGCTGACAGGACGTATTAAATCCAATCGAGCCCCCGGAGATATGGTTGCATGTGTACATCGGAACATTATAGGTCATTGTTAAGCAGGATCTAGAATGGAGGGAGAATGACCTGGTGGATCGCCTCAGAGATCAAGATGACAAGATTCATAATCCCAGCATGTTTCAGGCCCTGTAACCAGTCACTACATCAGATTACTGTATGAGAATTATGTCCCTATTTCACTCCTCCCTGGGGTCTTCTATCTGGAATTTAGATCACCCCACTCTGCTGCCCACACTCCTCCACAGAAACATTTAAAAACTGAAGATCATGGAATTTTTAGACCCTGGAAATGACTTAGCCCAAATTTCTCATTTTGTAAATAAGTACTCAGGGCTACCCAAGGGTTAGGGAGGTCTGCTGACTCCAGGACACCTCAGGGCCTGTCCTGCACTGGGCTTCTCTGGCTCAAGGCCCATTAGGCCAGTCCCGCCTTTAACTTCAAGCTCAGGGAAATGGCTCTAACATTTTTTGACCTAAGGGGTCCCAGATTTTCAGCTGCTTGGATCCTCGGCTGTCAGAAATCATCCAGGTGCTATCTAAGAGCGAGGAGGAAATCTGCAAGGGCAGGACTATTCCTCTTAATAAGACTTTTAGTGAAATCCCAGGAATGTGGGGAGGCGCGCATTTTCCTCAGTCCCTTGTTAGAAAATAAGGTCTCACAGCTCTTAGTGTATGGGGAGGGAAATAGAAGAATAGTGACATCTGGTGGCCAAGACTTTCTTGCTTTGGATAGAGATGGTACAGATTCTAATCCTAATAGATTTGCTTTAAAGCCAAGTTTCAGCAGGTGGTTAATAACTGTGCCACCTGGTTACCTAGAGAGTTCTAAAAGACATCAATCATTTAAACATCATGGATCCACTACTATAGAGCATATTACATATGGTTATTATTTCAAGATCTTGTTAAAAAATTTATGTGTATATAGAGAAAGTGTGATGGTGTAATATTCATATGTACACACATTATATGTATTTATATGATAAAAATACATGTATATTATATATTTTATTTACTTGTATAAGTAATATACTTACAATGCCTTTGAAGGAAATTAATTTTATCTCCATTGTTTTTCTTATGAAGTTAAGATTATAATTTACATTAATAATTACTAAAGGACATTGCTTTTAGACATAAAGATGTTTTCTAGGATGGAGTTGTATATTTCATAATGTCCTCTCAAGAGAGAATTCATTAAAAACTTAGAGTGGAAGAAAATAACATAGTGGGATTTTAATAGTGCAAGTCCTGGTTGCTGATGGTCAAGATCATGTTTACCTGATGAATAATGACTGATTTTTAGCATTTCTACCACTTGTGAACAAGCAATATTAGGTTAAAAAAAAGGAAGACATTTGGGATTACTTCAGAACAATGCAATAGTGTCTGTTGGTATTGTTAAGTCTGCTCTACTTCTTTCCATATATTTGTCCTGTGTAACATACTTTTGATGATTGCCCAATTAAAAATGTAGAAAACACAACTCTATCCACACAAGCAAGTCCATTGCTTCTCAGCATCTTTTACTAAGCTCTATGTGAATTTTACTGATCCTCATAACAACTCATAGAACAGAGTTGCTATACCCATTTTATAAAAGAAGCAGCTAAGACTTGGAAAAGTTATGTAATATGCCCACCTATAGGCACTGTAGATTAGGGTCAGAGTCAGGATCAAATCCAGTTTTCCCAACTTCAGAGCCCACAAATCTTTCCATTATACTCTTTTGCCCTCCCCAGGAAACCAGGAAGAAATGAAGATCAAGGCAGAAATCACTCTTAAGAGTACTCTAAAAATTAAAAGGGATATTTAAGGTACTAAACACACACCACATTTCTTAACCTATTCAAGTTGTATGAAAATTAGAAGCAACAAAGTAACAATTATGTGTGTAATGAAATAAAAAATTTTATATATATATATACACACACACACACACATATGTATATATATATATATTTCCCCCCCTGTTCAGGACCTGAACTATCTTTAACAACTTGGGAATTATGTCCTATGTAATCCCATGGAAGGTAAAGCCTCCAATGGTAAAGGTAATTGATCAAGTTTTTAGGATGGTACCGCTAGCAGTGGTACGAGTTACTGATGCCAAGACACTGCCACTAGAAGTTGGCCTGCCTAGGGGCACCTGGGGATCTCAGTCAGTTGGGGTTGAGCATCTGCCTTTATCTTAGGTCATGATCTCAGGGTCCTGAGCCCCCAAGAAGAGCTCCCTGCTGAGCAGAGAGTCTTGTTCTCCTTCTGCCTTTCCCCCTCCCCCCCCCCCCCCCCCCCCCCCCCCCCCCCCCCCCCCCCACCCTTCCCCATGCATACCCAACTCATGCAGACATGCATACTTCTTTCTCAAGTTGATAAAAAAATAAAATCTTTAGAAGCTGACATGTCTGGTATATGGTGATAGAGGTAACAGTGTCTTCACCTAACCAGTTTTATGAGTTGATTGAGGATTTGTTTCTAAATGCAGGTACCCCTGAGCCTGACTCTAAGCTTGCCTTGAGATAAATTCCTTTTCTCCTTAAATCAAGTAGAGTAACTTTCTGTTGCTTGTAGTTAAGTAGCCTGATTGACACAGACATTAGAACCAAGAACCAACAGACACCAACCCTCAGGAAAAGAGAAGGATGAGTTGTCTAGTTTGAGTGGGCCTGGGGGCTGAAAATCCAACTGGTTTAAAGGGTTTTCACGCAGGCAGTTTATAGCATAGAGTAGTGAGGTGGTTTAATTCAATTATCACTGTGCTCACCTAGGATGAAGTACCCATTGAAATCGATGTTGGGGAAACCAAGTAGCAGCTGAGGAATATAAGGAAATTAAGTAAGGTGGTTGTTTCTGTTGTTTTATGGAGTTGGACAGCTTAAAGAAAGAGAACAATGGGCTCTAACTCCCAATTACTCAGCTCAAATTCCTAAATTCTCAGCTCAAAGGACATATACACTAAGGATTTTTCTGTGATTTTTAAGACAGTCAAACGCAGGAAGAATACCAACAAAATTTCTTTTTTCTAACAGCTAACAGTCAAGATAGGTGAAAACAAAAAACAAAATTTGATCTTGTAGGTCACTGAATTATAAAATCACTTAGATGCACAGCCTAAGCATCCTTATTTGAAAGCAAGGACATTGATTAGAACAGAGTAGGACCCTGAGGACCAGATGGAGAGACAGGAGAAAATCCAGATGACTGAATGTACCCCATGGCCCTCGAGCTCTGTGCTGGTTTCCCTTACCAAATGGAGGCCATGATGAGGTTCCTAGCGCATCTCAAGAGACCAGCTGAAAAGATAAACCCCAAAAAAGACTGAACCATCACACAGAGTTTTGACATTTGACTGTCTTGGAAAAGCAAAAATCTGGGGAATACGTGTGGTGAGATATTCTGAGAATTCTAGAGTAAAGAAAGAAGAACACAGCTTTAGACTGGGCTGAATGTAATGAGAGGGAAGCAGTGCTCAGTGGGTTCACGTTAGGGGTTGGGGTAGTCTTAAACATACGCTCAGTTAATGCTAAAGTCCAGACTCAGGGGGCCCAGCATAAATAATACTGCTAGCGGGCACTCATGTAGCTCTTACCAGGGGCCAAGCACTGTTTCACATACTATCATATATCAAGTTATTTAATTCTAAGACTAAGCCTGAGATAAGTATTATCATCTCCACCTATAAAAGCAGAAACTGAGGCATTTGGAGATGCAACAATTTCCCATGTGCAGCTTGTAAGTGGTAAAGCTGAGATTCAAAGCAGTTAGTCTGCTTCTAGAGTCTGGGCTTTTCAGATCTACGCTGAAGTTCTTCTTAAGAAGGGAAGATGCCAGAAATACCTTGATATTACATAGAGAAAGCAATCCAAGCACTTAGGGAATGATATAAAAGATTTATCAGGTGTGACCTACTTATCCATTCTAATAAGTTCTCCAAGACAGCCCAGAAGACACATACTTGCCTCAGCACTGAGAAGCCCACTGGTGAGGCAAATGCCCGGATTTTTGAAGAGAAGTGCTGTGGCTTTTCTCTGGATATCGGTCCTCATGACAGAGAGCTGTAGCCGTCACTTAGTTCTCAAATCGGCTGACCATCAACCAGGAGCCCCTTGAATGAGAGAGAGACTAGACATTTGCAGCA